TTTGCATTTGTTTCCAAAATTCATCAGGATGAGGACATGATGAATACTATGCATTGTATCACAACATTGTGTCTCGGAAAAACCTTTTTAGAAAATAATTGTCACTAGTCATGCAGTTCAGTTCCCTTTCAGTCGGTCACTCCGAGTCACGTCGGTGACCGACGAATTGGGGATCTCGCTTCGAGAGACCAATCTACTTCGAGTGTAACTAAACGAGCCAATGCACATTGGCATGCAATTATTGCATCCAGCTGCCGCTGATCACAGCGTGAGCATAAAAAGGCAGCCGGTGCAATGCATACCAGCTTTTCACTTTGGAGCCGAGCGACAACATCGTTCTGCTCCATCCAAGTGTCTTCAGTAAGCTACGAGTTCAACGCGCTCTTGGAAGCTTCTGGTGTTGGCGGACGGCGCTTCAGCGGTGGTCGTTCCTGTATCGAGTGGGTTGCGCACTTCAGGCTGCACTACCCCCTGTTGTACTGCAAGCGGCCATTTCCCCTGTGCACGTCAGCACTAAAAGAGCATTTCCCTGAGAGAGCAATTTCTCTATGGGTGCGTCTTTGTAAAGAGGACGGATCGTCGTTTTAAAGATGCCGTTTCACCCGTGCGTTTCTGGGTGCGGTCATTACCTGGCGTCGCTGCCTCACGTGTCTGGGCTTGAAGCACGCTGAGGTGGCATTCGTGGATGAGTCATGTTCCCATTGCGGGAAGATGACCATTTCGGAGCTGCGGAGTAGGCTTCGCTACCTTCAGGGGGCGGAGTTCCGTTGCCTCTGCCGCGATCCAGTGCTCGTTCTGGCGGCGGCCAGATGAGGACTACTTCCAGCAGTAGCGCAGGCGGTCTGAGGGTTACAGTGGTGGCAAACCCCTCAGGGAACCAACCCTCTGGGGCCCACCACTCCTCCAGTGCTCCTCAACCAGCAGAGCCGCCGAAGGAATGCCCACCGGGGGGGATCGCCGCATACCCCTTCTCTGCACCATCTCCTCTCCAGAGAGCTCTCCCTCCGATGCAGCAATCAACATCCGAAATTGCTCTCTGGGCAAGTTAACGCTTATACGGCTTGCGGGGCAGCTGCTTCCGCCTTACACGCTATGGCGTTACTGCAGGTGCACCAGGCCAAGGCACTGAAGGACCTGCACGAGGTAGGTCACGATCCGGAAGTTATGAAAGAGCTCCGAACCGCCACTGACCTCGCGCTCCAAGCGACGAAGGTCACCGCGGGTTCTCTGGGTCGTGCAATGTCCATGCTTGTGGTCTAGGAGCGCCATCTATGGCTGTGTCTGGCCGACATGAGGGACACCGACAAGGTTCGGTTCCTTAATGCCCCTGTGTCCCAGACCGGCCTCTTCGGTGACGCGGTGGAGAGCTTTGCCCAGCAGTTCTGGCTGCACAGAAGCAGACTGAGGCGATTCGACACATCCTGCCCCGGCGGGCAGCTGCTGCCTCCAGGTCGCCGAGGGTGGCCCCCTGTGTCCGCAGCAGCCTCCACCCAAGCAGCGCTGTGGAGCCGGGTGTAGGCAGGCCGACCAACCCGTCCAGGCCCCCGCCAAAACTGGCGGCAAGCGGAAGAGCAAGCGGCCCTGAGACGGGTGACCCAGAGATGGAGGGATCTGCTTTTTGGGAGATGGTGAATGCACCACTCCCTCCCCCGGAGGAGGGCCGGGTGGAGAATATTTTGTTTTGTTTGAGGCCGTACCCTAATTCTCGACAAAAGAGCAGTTTTCACCATCTCTGGGTCTCAAGAGGGCACCGAGAGTTGCGGACGGTTCAACCCCAGACCACACTCATCCTCCTCTGTCGCCAGCAGGCATCAGTGGGCGGTTCGAGAGTGTACTCACGCACCCTCTGCCAAACTGTGGAGCCAGGTAAGTGCTGCACCGCACACTCAGACCCCTCTTCGGTCTGCTCACAAGCCGTCCGAGTTGGGTCCCTGCGATCCACCTCGCTGCCCCACCGCGAGTACGGCGGTGGTTCCGTTGGTCCCACTTGCACGGTATCTGGGTGCCTGGCTAGCGCTACCCAGCCAGTCTCACTGGCTTCTGCGCACCATCAGCCTCGGCTATGCAATTCAGATCGCCCGGCGTCCCCCGAAGTGGAACAGGTACGTTTTCCCAGTGTTATCCAATCTCACTGAGTGGGTAGTGCTATGACAACAGTGACTGGTCTTCTTGTTGCGAGCCCCGGCCTACACCACAAAGGGGCTCAGGCGACTCGCACAGGACACTGGAAGAGGTAGCATCCATTGCGCTTTGGTAGGGATCCCAATTCATCAGTCACTGACGTGACTCGGAGTGACCAACTGAAAGGGAACGTCTCAACCCTTTCAGTTACGTATGTAACCAAACCTCTCGGTTACGTATGTAACCCTTGTTCCCTGAAGGAGGGAACGGAGACGTCACGTTCCGTCGCCACGGCTGCTGTACCACCACTGAGCGGCTGGGTCACCGGCTTGGCTCCTCAGCAAAAGCATAAACATGTAAATATCATACCGTAGCGTTTCGAATAGCTGTGAGAATGTCTAGCTCGGTGAGCCCTCCAAGTGGGTCAATAGACTGCAGGGTTCTTCCAAACGTCTCGTGGAATATGTAACAGATACGAGCTCCTCCACACCTGCAATTAACAAATTCACACACAAACCACGAAAATTTAAAATCATGCAGCTCTTTTGGGATTCACAGGCACTTTGGCACACAGGCCTGGAGTCGGACCCAACCATCCAGCCAGAAAACGTCAATATGAGGCACTTATTTAATCGATAGCTGGTGTGGACTTATATGAGAGCCAGATATGAGAGATGAACAGCATTTCATCCAACAGTGAACAGGGTGTAAATAAGGAACTGGACAGACTCACGGATTATCTGCCTGTCAGATTCAGCCAAGCAGACAAAGTAAACATGGTGTGCTTGATATCTGTCATGAGTTTCAGTGCAAAAATGACAGACTGAGACGCTGCCGAAGTCACAGAAAAAAAGATTTAACAGGAATGTAACCTTGGTAACGACAGTATGTCAAACTCAATAGCATGGTGTAAGGCGGCAACCTTTAGTAAGTGGCTCCACAAATAACCGACTGTCTGATGATCATTGCGCTCATAAATGGCAAGAGCTCTCTCAGATCACAAGCTCAAGCCTAACTGGTTGGCTTTACTAAACTTTTCAATGCGATTCCTGTTTTTCAGTTCCCAAGTTTAAAGGGACAGTTTACCCAAATACGTAAATTCTGCCATTGTTTACTCATCCTCCACTTGTTCCAAACCTGTATGACTTTTTCTTTTGCTGAACACAAAAGAAAGTTTTTGAAGAATGTTGGTAACCAAATAGTTGACGGCAGCCATTGACTTCCACTGTATGGAAAAAAATACCTTGCAAATCAATGGCTACCATCAACTGTTTGGTGGAGGGTGAGTAAAAGATGATCATTTTAATTTTGGGGGGAATAAAGTGATAATAAAGACTTGCGTTATACTATTAAGACTTTTTATGCCCTTAAATTTAATAAAAACTTGGCTACAGTTGTCGTATTCCTCTTTTTAAGCTACTCCTGAACCACAGACAACGTCAGAAGCGTCTTACCTGGGATAAGGAGAAGAAGAACTGGACTGTTGCCCAGTGGTCCAAAGTCCTCTTTTCAGATGAGAGCAAGTTTTGTATTTCATTTGGAAACCAAGGTCCTAGAGTCTGGAGGAAGGGTGGAGAAGCTCATAGCCCAAGTTGCTTGAAGTCCAATATTAAGTTTCCACTAATTTCTTCAGTGTTGTCACATGAAAAGACATGATAAAATATTTTTCAAAAATATGAGGGGTGTACTCACTTAGTGAGTTATATTAGTGCTGGGCAACCATTACATTTTTTTATTGCGATTAATCTCATGATTTTCTGCGATATAGAACAATGCGATGGATAATCGTATTGTTATGTGCAAAATTGTGCATTGGTCTGAACTCTGAACAAAACAACAGTTTTTACCCTATTTCCTGTTTTTGCTCTATTTCTCCAACAAAAATAATTCCAAACACAGTCACAGCGCTGTTTTGCATCTCTGAGCAACATGATGGTGTTTCGTTCCTGAATGAATCAACCATTTAATGATTTGGTTCAATCGCAATGACTCAGTTATTAACAGTGACTTGCTGCCACCTGATGGCGGTTTTAATTTCACATTTAAGGTACCTTTTCATTTTTTAAATAATTTCAAACATCAGTTTTTAATGTTTTATGTTTAAAATATCAAAACATTATTTATGCATTTGTAACTGCAGGTTAAAGTATTTGATGTCCCTCAGAGCTGCATTAAACATTGTGTAAATGCATCTAAATGCCAGTTCAGACACAGCTTCTGTGTTTCCTCTGCATTGCAAAGATGAATTCTGTTGATACTGATTTAATTTGTTTGGTAACAGCCCAAATGCAAGAATTTGACTCAAAAGATGGTGCACACGTTTAGAAAAAATTGCTTAAAGGTAAAAATGCCCATAAAACGTGTTGGAAATTATTAATTTCTATCACTGCTGTGAACTGACCACACATAATATGAAGAATATCAAAAAATTCAGGAGTCAGCTGTCCACGGCAGTCCTTAAGATATCAGCACAATAACACACTCAGTGAAATATTGTCTAATTATCGTTATCAATAAAATCTCAGAAAATAATCGAGATATCATTTTTTGTCAATATCACACACCCCTAATTTATGTTATTTCATTGATATAATAATTTATTGATAATAATTGTTTAAATTAATATAATAGTTAATACTTTTGACTCATCCATTTTCTTAAAAAATGGTTTAAAGGCTGAAATGTAGAGTTTATCATTTTATAAAACTTTGTTTTTGTGAAAACTTGTATCTGAACTGTAAATTATGCTTTTTACTGTAATTTTACAGTTTAATATGATACTATAGACATTGCCCTACCCCGCTCATATGGTATTCATTTTATTTGTGCAGGTCTTAAAAAAGGTCTTAAAAAGTTTTAAATTTGAGCTTAAAAATCCTGCAGGAACCCGGAAAATATGTTATAGAAGTTGAAGTGCTATGCTATTGACAGTATTGGTTATCACTAGACAGCAAATGCTTGACTTCTCTGCTCCTCAAACACAAAAAAAACATTAGCCTTTAATGTTTTAGTGTTTCCTGAGTAAAGAAAAAGCTGTACTTTCAGATGTCCGAAATGCTGCTGTAATGAACGTGGCATCTGAGGACTACTTCACTAGTTTTTGCTTTATGATGTTTAGTTCGTCACATGATCCCTCTTATGTCAGCTTGAGAGCTGTAGTTATGACCATGTGAGTTTGTGATGCTGTTTGCGATGTTTATTTTAACTATAGTGAAGTGAAGGCTGATTAAATGATAACAGAATTTTCATTTTTGGGAGAACTATGCCTTTAACGTAAAAAGACCTTTAAAGGCAATAAGAAAAACAACTTGTTTTGCAGAAAAAACATCCTACAGCATGGTGGTGCAGGTACTCACAATTCAGAGGTCTGGATGTGTCTGGCAGTGCCTTCGATGGTGTTGCAGTAGTCGGTGGCAAACTTAGTGACGATCTGCAGCAAGGTGGCGCTGTGGTCTTCCACTGGCTGGCCGTAGCTGTTGAGTCGGGACTGGTTCTGGGCGGTGAGCACCGTGACTCGCGTCTTGAGCACCGGGAGACAGTCTCTGATGTGATGCATGAGCAGTCGGCTCAGGGTGCGAGCCAGGTAGCGCGAGCCGCAGCGGGAGGCCAATGACGGGTAATGCCGCTGTAGGAACACCTGCTCGTCTTTGCACGAGTCGTCGAGACTCTTTTGGGTGTTCAAGTCATGTTGGCTCCTGAAGGAAAAAAAAAATTATTATAGGACTGGACAGTGAAAAGTGGATCAAAGCCTGAAAATTTATAATAGAAGTAGGAAGGCACCAGAGCACATCCAAATTCACGGTTTGCTCAACATCCTGTCTGATAAGATGCTTTCATCATGTAGGTTTTAGGCAGTATCCATTGCTTCTTATAATGTCCCATAATACTCTGTGCGATTCGGTGGTAGGGCACAAACATAAAACTGCATCTATTTACTTGGTTATCTCCAAAGCTCATTTGAATTTGTTCTAGATCATTAAACATGATGTTATGCAGCCTTGGTCTCAGGAATCAGGAACCTTTCAAAGGAATCTTTCGAGAAATTATAATAAATAAATAAATGAATAAAAAATTCACAATGACAGAGAAATTATTGACTGAGTTATTATAGGACTGGACAGTGAAAAGTGGATCAAAGCCTGAAAATTTATAATAGAAGTAGGAAGGCACCAGAGCACATCCAAATTCACTGTTTGCTCAATATCCTGTCTGATAAGATGCTTTCATCATGTAGGTTTTAGGCAGTATCCATTGCTTCTTATAATGTCCCATAATACTCTTTGTGCGATTCGGTGGTAGGGCACAAACATAAAACTGCATCTATTTACTTGGTTATCTCCAAAGCTCATTTGAATTTGTTCTAGATCATTAAACATGATGTTATGCAGCCTTGGTCTCAGGAATCAGGAACCTTTCAAAGGAATCTTTCGAGAAATTATAATAAATAAATAAATGAATAAAAAATTCACAATGACAGAGAAATTATTGACTGAGCAGCAAGGACACTAGCGTGGGTTTGAACAGATTTTGAAAGTCTCTACGGTAACACTGAGACAAATTATTATAATTTAAAAGAACTGTTTTCTATCTTAATATATTTTAAATGTCATTTATTCCTGTGATGGTAAAGCTGAATTTTCAGCATCATTACTCCAGTGTCACATGATCCTTCAGAAATCAGTATAATATGCTGATTTGCTGCTCAAGAAACATTTCTGATTATCACCAATGTTGAAAACAGTTCATATTCAGCTTCATATTTTTGTGCGCTTTTCCACAGCAAAATTTCAAATATAAATCTTTTATAACATTTTGAATGTCTTTAATGTCAATTTTAATGCATCCTTGCTGAATAATAACTGGTGGTGGTTGTGGTGGAGGTTGTGGTGGAGACCCCCCCCCCC